TTTGAGAATTGATGCTAAAATAATGGTATTTTTAGGGGGTTAAAGTGTCCTCCTGAATCATCAAATCTTTATTGATCTGATTCACAAAGGTTCTGAGCCCCTCAGGTGGCAAAACACTCACCTGCTGCTTTAAGGCAGATTTGACTTTGCTTTATATCCTTCAGAGACTGTGTTTGTGGAAAGAACATCTAACACATCATAGACCTGCCTCTTGTTTATAGGCACTGTTCAATTCACAGCCCTGATACTGCATTGTCGCACTCATCTGTGGCTTTAAGGGTCACCTTTATAAAAAGTTCGTTCACAGCCACTTTACTGATGCAGTAATGTTGATTCAGAATATGGAATAGGGAGTAAGAACAGGACATTTTTACAGTATATTAAACTGTTTTTTGCAATTATACTAAAGAATATTTTTTTTTTGCCTTCTTATCAATAATTCCTGACCAAACAACTCTTTGTTGCTTTCAAACTTCACAGCATTAGCTTCTTATGTTCACCGTCAGAGTTGACATCTACGCTTCTGTACTGCCTCTGGCTGGGACAGAGTAAATTTTCTTCATAGTTTCTTGTATGAGGCAATGTCTTGCTTTTGTGACGAAAACAGTGTTGACAACACACTGATGTTTTTTATTTGAGCAGTGTTTGCACAGAGTCAAGGCCTTTTCTGCTTCTCGCACTGCTCTTCCAGTGAGCAGGGAGTGCACAAGGAATTGGGAGAGAACACAGCCCGGACAGCTGACTCTTGTGGACCAGAGGAATATCCCACATCATATGGTGTCATACCCAATAATAAAATTTTCAGGAAAGATGGAGGAAGGAGGGGATGTTTGGAGTTGTAATGTTTCTCTTCCCAAGTAAAGCAACCATTACGCATGATATAGCGTGGCTTTCCTGGAGATAGCTGAACACCTGGCTGCCCATGGAAGTGGTGAATGAATTCCTGCTTTTGTTTCGGTGATGTGCACAGCTTTTGCTTTACCTGTTAACCTGTCTTTATCTCAACTCATGGATGTTCACACTTTTCCTATTGTCTCCCCATTCCACTGTGAGCAGAGGACTGTGTGACTCAGCAGAGGCTGAGTCACCTGATGGGGTCAAACTACCACAGCTTGTTAAACTATCTATAAATCGCTTCTCCTGTTGATCTGCTTGCTGCTAATAGTAAAGTTTTCTCTGCTTTGTCTCCCTCTCCAACTCCCCCCACCCCCCCGCATTTTTTTTATAATACTATATCCTTTATTATTTGGTCTGTGGATTTCTTGCTTCCACCTGATGTATTAGCAGCCATAGGCATTTCATCTGCTGAAAGTGTCTCTCTTCTTGACTTTTTATCCTGCCTAGAGTTATCTAAGGTGGCATTCATCCTTTTAAAATTCCAGTATCAACAAGGAGAATGATTCCACGAAGGAGGAATACTGTGGTAGGTACTGTATCACTGGGGAAAATCACCTTCTGTAAATACCTTTTTTTCCATCAGTTACCATTAGAGCACAAAGTGACTAACTGCTTAACTTTACATAGATACATATCTAACATTTGGTAAAAAGGTAAAAGAGGTTAGATGATGTCCACTGACAGTGTCTAAAGAATACTGGTTATATAACCTACTAAACAACTTTTTTTTTTTTTTTTTTCCAAATTCCTCTCTCAGGTTGCTTTTTTTATTTTGTTTACAATTTGCCACAGAAGAATACTGAGCATAATTGTACTTCAAATGTTGTCTTAATTACTAGGTTCTTTCAATATAGTGCAATTTACCTGACCTAATTGCTACCATCTAAAGATTAAGAATTGTGAGGGAAAACAAGTCTCTTCAAACCTGTTCCAGCTCTCTGCAGTCCTCTATACCATAACTCATTTATGGCTCTCACCTTCCTGTATAGAAAATATAGGTTGAAGTTAGGTGATTAAGATGATCATTATATTTAACACCCCTTCCAACCCAGGACATTCTATGATGCTATGATCTATATTGTAGACAGAGGGGAGGTTTCTTTCCCTGAAAAACACCTGTGCAAGCCATTTAATATCTCCCTTTAATATTTTCCTAGAGTTAAAGAAGTGCTTAGCAGCTTCAAAGTCTTTGGATGGTGTTGAAGTACACAGTTTACTAAAACATGTATCAGTAAAATAGGACAATTTCCACTCCTTTGTCAGTACTATAAAAATCATTGGCTCATAATACATAAACTCAAATGTATCCGGCACCTTCAAACTGAATACATTTGTGCAATTTTTTTCAAAATATTTTTAATAAAAATTTTGGCCCAAAATAATATGTTTATCTCTTAGGTAAGAAAAACATAAAAAACAATTATGTTTCCATGTTGAGTAAACGTCAAGGAGAACACTGTCCTGTGAAACAACATATGATGTCATTGTTATTATACAGAAAGACTTACAACAAGTTATTGGTAGAAGAATAAGAAAATATACACTTAATATAATAAAAATTGCTGAAAAGGAAGAGATAAAATTTAATGCATACAGCTTAAAAGTTCTAGTAGATATATGTTTAGTAATATTTTTTTAAAAGTGATGTGACTTTTTTTGTTTTCTTTCTGCAAACATCTCTGTTTTGTGGCACTTTTAATAGCTGATGGTTAGTGCTTCAAAAGATTTTCCTTGAATTATGACCATGTAATGGTCATAATTTTTGGTTAATATTTTTTGCTTTAAAAAATTCTTATGTAGTTGAAGAAATTACTCTACTTTGCTGGGAAAAAAAATGAAATCCATATGGTAAATATTAAAATTCTTTCTTCAAAAGGCTGCATTACTTTGAGAATAAATAGCAGCTGTATGTACCTATTTTATAAGCATTCATTGGCATCACCGCCAACAGAAATGCTTTTTAATTTCCAGACCAAATTTGAGCTCTATCAAAAGTGCAGTTTCTTTTGGTTATTAGATAAGTCATTGATTGCTGATACAACCATGGAGTCCTGTGACTTCAAAGGGAAAGATACAATAGTGGAATGCAGCAGAACCCTCAGATTTAGGCATCAGAAGCAGTGATAAGTTTACACCTAGAGTAAAATCTTGGATATATTTGTTTCTGGCAGCAGTGAAAATGGTATTGTTTTCAGTACTGTCAGTGTATGACAGAGGTTTGTACTTTCTGAGGGTTTATACAGTGACAGAAAGAGCTAATGGAAAGTTTTCTAAATGGGAAGGAAAGTCTGTCTAAAGCGGCCTTGTATTTTCCACAGGAACAGTAAATCATTACATCTTGAACTTCTCCACCCACAGATCCCACATAAAGACCTAGGAAATCTGAAAGTGATAGCAGAGATGTGGTCAAGGAGAGGTTTTTAAGCTCCCTGAAGCAAAACTTAACCTTTAGCTTGGTAACTACCGTAGCACGCATCTGAATACCTATGAAAATCATAGTATTCAAAAAGCATGGAAAAAATTAAATAGGCATACTATAATTCTGGAAAAGTACTTGAAGTATTACATGTGGTTATAATCTCTTCTTTTTTCTTTTTCTCCTTTCGTGTTGAAAATCTTTGTTTGGAATATCTGTTCTTGTGTACAGAGAGACTTTTTTTTTGTTGGTATTTGTCTTTACCTCTCACTCTCATGGTAGGTACTTGCATACTGTGCTGTCTCCTGAAGATTATATTTTAATTTTACTTAAAGTGACTGATCAATCTATCTTATTACAATGTTTTTCTCATTGTAAACAGAGATTTCTGAAGACAAATCAAGAATACTAAGTAGCTATCTAGTGAAGTCACCTAGCTGATCAGACCCAGAAACAGCTTAGTCAAAATGATATGTCTAAATAGGATTTGTGAAGTTTCTGAATGTACTTAAAGATTTGAACTCTGATTGAATTTTTTTTTTATTATTTAAAAAGTTGTTCACATATTTGTATGTGAAATATTTCTATATAGAGGCAATGCCTTTCTGCCTTTTTTGCAAACTAAACACGATAGGTTGTTTGACCTGGCCTACTTTCCATCTTACTTCCCACTCTACACAATACAAGTTTATGAACTAATGTCAGATAAACTATTTTTGCACATAAGATTGAATGTTTCTAAGTACTATGTAGAACCAGAACAAGCTTTAGAATTTTAGAGATCATTAAAATTACTTGATTATATAAATCCATTCAACAAATTTGTATATTTTATTTCCTGTCTTTGATTGATGTCACTGATAATATTTTTAAAATTTTAGAAATTTGAAACATATTGGAAGTATACAATGTCACTTTTGAAACTATAGCTAATTCTTTAGCTGTCCAACATGAAAGAAGATGTCTCATGATCCAGCTGAGTTAGTGTTGAAATTGGTTTAAATACAAGCGTAGCTTAACTTTGTTACGGTTAGCCTTTGTATGTACAGTTAATTTATAACAGCTAAAACACATGCTCTTCCAATCCCTTCAATTCAGCCATTTAATCTCTCTCCCAAACTCATACTCTCTTGCTACAGGGCAATTAATCCTTATAATGCTTTTTTAAAAGGTCAGTTTATGAACTCAGATAAGGAAAAAAAAGTCAGTGAATTGTGGGTTTTTTCCTTTTTCTTTTAACATCAGCAGAAAGCAGAGCTACTGTTTTAGAACTGCAGATACATTTAGATAATTTCTACATGATCGCATCAAAGACATTCTGTTCTCTAATTACTGAAGTCTTCAAAGAAAAATATGGGAGAGAAAAAGCCCTGTCTTTCAACCATCATTGAACTCCTCATGCTAGTAAAAGTTGGGAGTATAATATGAGGGCAAAACCTACAAATGCAAATATTGAAACACAGAAGAAAAGTATGATCCCTTTGACCTTTAGTATTTGGATGATAAAAATCTAAAACATTGCCCAATATCCTGATATCCCACTTATTCTTTTTATTCTTTTGCTTTCTGGATCTGAAAGCTCTTTTCCAACCTAAATGATTTTATGATTCTATTCTTGAATTATTTTTAAAAGAGAAGAATAACTTCTTCTGACACTTGTTATATGTTACTAATTCAAGGATTTCATAAAGACTGAAGTATTTCTGTCAAAACTAAGAAGAAGTCGGATAAGTGCAATGAAGAGAGATGGGCCATGCAGGGAGATTACACCAGCTTTTAGTTTGGTTGTCAAGTTGTTAATAGAGTCAATATTGTGAAGAAATGAAGTTTAAAGTCTATACAATGAAAGTATATTCTACTCAGAAAAACAAATGTAACAACTGTTTGTGACTCTTGCAAAAGGCCACATTTTAAAAAAATATACAGAGATAGGAAAGGTTGGATGAAAAGTATCCCATCATATATTAAAGTGCCCAAGATTCTATGTAATGGCAGTCTGCCTTATATAGTATTAAAGTCAATTTAGCTCAATATTAAGATTTATTAAATTGATGTAATGGGTCTACTGTAACAGACAAGATGAATCAAATGATACAATGATTCTGATAGTTGTTTTATACATGTGTGGTTTCAACATTTTCATTTTTGTAAATATGTGGTAGAAATACCAGGGCAGTTTATTGATACACAATGCAAAATATTGTATTTCACACTAGTGTAGTGGGAAACCACCCCCCCACCCCCAGTCCCCTCTCCCCCTCAAGAACCACTCCCCAAGACCAAATACACACAAAAAACCTAAACAAACAAAACCACCAAAAACCCCAACCACAAACTAATAAAAACATCCAATCAAAAACCCCTTACTCCATTCCCCCAATAATTTGTTTCTTTGATATATAAGTGATTACTTAATTCTCCTTAATTACAAGAGTGCAAACTTCCTTTACCTGCATTTATTCCCATGGACCTTGCCATGCATAAATTAGTTGCAAAAAATAGTGTTATAGAAATGCATAATCCTCTTCAGAAACAGTAGTCAACATTTTGTTTTAATTAGTTTCAGGTCTATTCCTTTCCCCATCCACTTGAAACAGAAAATAATACTTTCTGTTGTGGAAGGCTAACACAAGTATAGCTGACCTAAATATAATTAATGAGCACTGAAGAGAAGGCGGCATTAAAGATGAAGCTTGTTGAGGACAAAAAACATTTGTTGCACATTAATAATCTTCCGTTGATTGGGTTACTGATGCTATTCCCAAGATGAGAGCATGGCAATTTAAAAGAAAATGAATACTTTGTTTCCACTCTTAAATAGCAGTATGTTTTGAAATAACAAAAGAAGAGGTTGACATGCCACATAGGTAATTTAGTTGCAGCTCCATTCCTATGAATCACAGCCAAGTAATTAATCTTTTACCTAGGAGACAGTACTAGTGATATTAATAAAATGTGGGAACAATAATCATTTTTATATAAGGAAAAACAAGTACCTGGTTTACAGGAGATTGATACTTTGTACAAATGTGGAGACATTGAATTTTGATATCAGTGTGTCAAATGTCTAATTGATGGATATTACTAACATATAACGGTTTCACAGATTGAGGAACTGAACCTGGTTAAATGCATAAAATATTTATAAATGTTGCAACAATAAAATCTGTAGAAAGTTTTCTACTTTGTATGCAGCATGAACTGTTCTCAGTCTAATTGGTTTTTCATAGATTTAAAGACAGTTTCTACAAATAAGAGTGCATCTGTTTTCCCCAAGACACACATTATTCTGATTAAATATTTTAAATTAAGATGGAGTGATTTCATGTGTTAGTTTTGATTATGCTGGTTGGTTCAATGAAAAAAAAAATCTGGCAATCTCTTATAAATATTTCAAAAATCTGAAGTGGTATGACTTTGTGATTAAAATTGCTTAATTACCATTTCCTGAAATATTAGGAATTAACCAAAGAACAGAATTACCCTAAGAATTATCTGAAAGTTTTGCACCATAAAAATGGTGGCTTTTTTAATATTTGTGCTTGATTTTTTTTTTAATTGAATCAGTATGAGACCAAAGTAGTTAATTCTAGCTGTATAAGTGAGGTAAATTTTCTTATTAATTTGGAATGTGTGCTAAATTCCTAAAAAGTGGCCTTGTATTCTCTACAACCTCTCTACCTGAGAGATTTTGTTTAAACTATAGCTGCTGTCTACTACAGGATCTATTAAGATCTATTAAGAAAGCCAAAGCAGAAAATACTCAAATTCATCTATTTTCAAAAACAGATTAATAAAATAATTTGGATTGGAAGGGACATTTAAAGATCATTTTGTACGACCTCCCTGCAATGAACTGGGACATCTCACCAGATTGCTCAGAGCCTTGCCCAATCCGATCTTGAATGTTTCCATGGTTGGGGCACCCACATTCTTCCTGGGAAACCTGCTACAGTGTTTCATCATTGCCATTGCAAAAAAATAAATAAAAAAATAAAAAAATTTTCCCCATATCCAGTCTGATTTTACTTTCTTTTAGTTTAAAGCCATTACCCCTTGTCCTTTCACAGCAGACCCTCTTTGAAAATCTGTCCCCTTCTTTCTTGTAAATTCTCTATTAAGTATTGAAAGGCTGCTATAAGGTGTCCCCAGAGTCTTCTCTTCTTCAGGCTGAACAGTCCCAACTCTCCCAACCTGTCCTCACAGCAGAGGTGCTCCAATCCTCTGATCACTTCCATGGCCTCCCTCTGGACTTGCTCCAACAGGATCATGATTTTCCTATGCTTAGGACTCCAGAGCTGGATGGATTATGCCAGCTCGGGTCTCATGAGAATGGAGTAGAAGAACAGAATCATCTCCCTCAACCTGCTGGCCATATAGAGATTAAAAAAACCACATTATTATGCCTATTAGAAAAATCAATAACAAAAAGAGCTTATCGACTTTGCAATTGAGCGGTGCTAGAACTCCCATACTTGAAAGCAGGAAATTTGACATTTTCCAGTTATTATTCTTACATGGTGTACGTGTTTTATTACTCTTATCAAAATCTAAAAAAATATTGGCCAAATGAAAAGATGATATAAAATGAGTTTGCTGAAGCTCTCTTAGACTATCATATCAAAAATCTCCAAAGACTGCAATGAGATGAGCTGGATTTTCACCAGCTATTTCCTGATGCTTCAAGGTACATAGCATAAAAACACTGAAAAGAAGTAAAATGTATTTACTTGCATCCTTCAATATCTTCTGAATCCGAGGAGCAAAAGCTAGTTTGAGTTCACAGAAGAAAGAAGCCAGCATTGAAATAAAGCATTGGCTGAATGAGGATCTGGCATGGGTGATCAAGTACAGGAAGATGAGGGAGAATACTCGAAAAAGTAACCTAAGAAGTAACAGAAGCATTGAATAAGAAAATAGCAACTGAAAGATATGTGTGGAAAAAGGAAACAGAGGGCATTGGGCACCGAGTTGGTGGTAGGAACACAAGCAGATTTTTGAGAAGCCAAAATGCTAGTCCTTTCCCATGATGTCTTTCAGACAGTCCAGACACATTAAGCAAAGGTCTTATTAGGTGAAGACCTCTGTGTCTGTGTTCTGCTTGGTGCTTTCTAAATTTTTATCAGATAATATGGCTCACTGTTCAGTTGGCAGGTAATTTCATTTCAAAACTGATACTTTTTCTTCTTGTCAATTAAAATATCTCCATGCCATTTTGAATAATTTTGTTATTAAACACTTAAATATTTTTATTGTGAATTTGCAGTACTGTCTCACATCTGAAAAATAAAAATGGTGTAATAAAATGTTTCAGAAAGAGCACATGACTTTTGAGATTTCAAACCTTGAGGAATTTTAGAAGTCTTTTCTCCTTGCTTCCTATCTAGATGATACTCTTCATGTTTTGGATGGGAGATTTGGGGAAACAAAAAACCAAACAAACTGTTAGATTGCTTGTTTAATATTTCAACTAGCATCAGAAGCAGCCTGCTGTTGAAATTCCATAGTATATTCTGACTGGTTTACATGGCTGGCTAGTATTAAACTTTACTAAACTATGAGCTTTTCTGAGAGAGGAAGCCTGGAGGAAGATATGAATATGTCATGAATCCTAGTTTAAAATATTTTATTAAAAATAAAAATCATATTATTATTATTCTATAAATTCATGTTAGAGCTACTTTTGCTAATACCTGTCTTGGTGATTCTTTGAGCGATCCTAAACCATTCGCTTTCAATAGAATAGAATGGTAAGATTTATCTCACCTATCTTTAGGTGATTGTTAAGAATCTTGTTTGCTCTTTCATTAGTTAATAGTAGGGAAGAAGCATTTTTCCAAAGCAAACTATTCAGTACAAAGTCCATCATTCACTTTAATCTAATATTTCATGAATCATTTCTTGGATGTGATTTGAACATTTCCCTCTCTGTTGAAATGAGAATCAGCATAGAGTATATTAGCATAAGGTAAAATATTCATTAGGAAAAGCACATCTAATGCTAGCTGTGCTAACTGCTTCCAGAGGAATTTACATTTTGAAAGATGCTATTTTGCTGATTAAAATACAAGAAAATCAAATGTCTTACAGCAGCAGTAAAAGTATTAACATCAATTACATTGTACACACTACACAGCAAACTCTTGAAATGAGTTAATGAAAAAGAGGCAGAGGTCAGCACTCTTATCTGCTAATTCAGGATTATGCATTTTGGCAAAAGATGGATAACATAATTCAACAGAAACTTCAAACTTTACAATAAGTAGAAATAGGTGCTTCTTCAACAGAAGTTCTTTATAGTTGTAATACTTTCTCCAGAGGGTCAAATCACACTCCTTTATTCTTAACTATATGTACATGAAAAACAAAGCACTGCATGTGCTATGTTTGCTAAAAGAAATATAGTTTGTCTGGTTTGTTGGGGTTTTTTTAATTCTAATTTTTGATCACTATTAATGATACAGTGACCCAAGCCATTCCATTCATAACACATGAATGAATTCTTTTGTTGAGAGAGATAAAGGAATTTGAACTACACTTCAAATATTCCTCTTTTTTTTTCACTATACACATTAATTTTAAACTGTAATTATTAATTTTATTTTTTCAAATAAAGGTATTTACAAGTTTCTAGCTGATCATAATCAAAACTCTTTGGGGCAAGGCAGTGGGGTCACCAGGGGATAATCAAGATATTAAATGTTTGCTTACTTAGAAATCCTACAATAATGAAAAAAAACCAAAAAACTAACAAAATTTATGATAATTGTATTCATTGATGGTAGTGTCATGCTTTTTTACCATAAACAGGAAAAGCCAATCCACTTATGAAAACATTCACAGCATAAAATTCTGACTTTAAATTTCATTAACGGCATACTGTAAGAAGTATTTCATTGTTTGCTTCCTATTTAATACCTATCTTATCACAAAATCAAAGAATAATTAAGGTTGGAAAAGGCCTCCAAGGACATCAAGTCTAATTTTCGACTACATACCACCTCATCAACTAAACCATAGAACTAAGTACCACATCCAGTTGTTTCTTGAACACTTCCAAGAATGTTCTCGAGAAGTCTGTTCCACTGCTTGACAACCCTTTCAGTGAAGAAATTCTTCCTGATGTCCAACCTGAACTCCCCTGGTGCAGCACCTGGTTAATTTTAAGTGATTAACTGGAAGTCAATGCACATGATGTTAAGCAGCTGATGCATGTGTCAGTGTGGGTGAGAGGGGAAGGAACAATGAGGCTGGAATATGCAAAGCACCTTGAGCATGTGGGCATTGATAGGAGAACTTTCAGAATTTTCACTAAAAAAAGAAAAATAAACAAACAAAAATTTTTAAAAAGGTGTGAGCTTGGCGGTACAGTTGTTAAGTGTATATTTTAATTAAATTTTGTATTATTATATTTCTTTTAAAAATCAAAAATTGCATTCTTGTCTTTGTTATCTCTGATTTTATTACTTAATTTGTATCCACAATTAGTTAAGACCTTTTCTTTTTAATTCTTTCTGTGAATATCCTCCCACAGTGAAATAGCAATTCAAAGCAGAAAAACTCAGAAAAACACTAATTTCTTAGACTAGGTCTGTGCATTTTCAGCCTTCATGCCAGCAGAGAGCAGCAAGGAACCCACATGTGCAGGGATTCCTGGTAAAAATGAGCTGTGAAGGTGTTCAGAGATCTGGCTTCACAGTCTGATGATGTGATAGCCCGTAGACCACAGATGGGTTGAATTGAGCATCCAGGTGGACTACAGCCACCTGGTGATGGGGTGGTCTGGCTCTCAGACAGACCTACCAAAGGGAAATCTCAAGTCCAAGTAACTCTAAATTTGAGGTTTTCATTATATCTTACTGGATTGTTGGCAGAACCAGCCTGATTTTATGATTCAGTATTTCTGCCTCTCAGACCCTAGTGACATAATTACATCTTCCATTTGTCTTGTTAAACTATTTAGAGTTTTTTCTCTTGATTTGTCTTTTGCTGTTGAGTATCAAGTAGGATGAACTCAATTGTAGGTATGTTTGGTAACTACTTAGTCAACCTTGAAAATATCATCTTCACTTATATTTTATAGAACAATACATACACAAGGAGAATTAACCTATACGGGACTTCCCTGTCTTCCTAGACTTTCCCCCTTTCATGTCTCAGAAAATAAGACCAAGGAACTAAACTTTGTCTCTGCCCAAGTTACAGAGAATGCAGTCAAAGCAATTTTAATGTAAATGGTTTCAAAGTATGTCTTTACACATTCCAGTTCATAGTCATCCCACTGGAACACATGGAGGTCAGTTCTAATTTATGTCAAGCTGCTGCAGTCACAGAGAGCTGAAAATAAAACACAGCACTTATTGCTAACAGAAAAAGCTTTTTTTTTACTTTTATGAGGAAAAAAATTAGAAGGAAAAAAAGTGAGAGTGATTGTGGGAGGTCTATGCAGTGGATATTTTTCCTTGATCTAGTATGATCTTCCTTAGCAACTCAATGTCCATCTAAGTATAAAATATGCTTATTAATCTTCAAAATGTTTTTCTACTGAAACTCCCTACCAAAACCCTCTCTAAAATGGCAGATAATATACTTCTTTGAATATTTTTTCTAGAATACTAGTCATAAAAATATAATATCCTGTACCCTACACATTAAATTGGACTGCTAATTGTTTCATGACAGAGAAAATATGATAAAAGTAGCTCACAGAGAGACCAGCTAATATAAAACTTTATGGAAGATACAGTATTTTTTTTTCAAATGAAATTTACTTTTATAAAATTTGACAGTGGATTCAAAGTGCTTGAGCATCAGTGGATAAGTGAATGCATTAATTTTGTAGAGGTGGTAATGTCCACTCTGCCTTTAGCATGTAGATTTTCTTCATTCTGCATTACATTTACTGGTCAGGGCCCCTCCCCGGGCAGATGGAGCTCGTTAGCCCTGTAAGGCAATCCATCTACATCCTGAGGACCTCGCTGCCACCGTCCAAGTGTGCTTGGCCCCAGCAGATAAACCTTAGGATTAAAGGGTGGGCTCAGTTCCGCGCACACTGTGTCTCACCTAAAAAATCCAATGCGCAGGCTGGAAGGTGGAAAGACCTTCCCCGGTTCTTCCTTCGCGAAGAGACTGGCCATATTATACAAAACTGTCTTATCTTTATTATTAGCCTGTATATAGTAGTTGTAGGTCTATTCATCATTGTTCAGTACAATTCTCCATTGATTAAAATCACAGTGGAAAATTAAAGCCTTTCTTGAAACTTAGACAAAAATATCTTCAGTTCCTGAAAAGTCTTTTCACCATGGCAGGAGGTTTTAAGAAATAATTCATATTTATGTTCCTTTCAGACAAAATTTCTTGAGAAATGACATGTACTACGGTACTGGAAACTTTATCTTCCTGTCAAAGCTGATGCAGTAAAGTCAACTGAACAAGATAATAACATATCTCTGATAAAGGTGGAAGGTGAGTCAGTGCACAGGGGAAGAAAGATGAAAGAAGCTTTCAATCTCAAAATATTTTGGAGCAAACAGTGATGTGCTAGCGAGTCTTAGCTGGCTAACATGATGAGTGCCAGGTTGAAGAATGTTGGATGTGTTATAAGTTGAAACTGAAACACAGAAAAGTTCCCCCAAAGACATTGAAATTATGGTGCTTTGCTGCTGAAAGCACCATTTTGAGAATGGCGCTTGATTATTGTTAAGGTATATTTTCCATGGGATACACTTGAAAATAATTTTAAAAGAAATGTGTAAAAGTGATTTTTTTTTTGTTTGTTTTTATTAGTAAATGGGAAAAATCATTAAATACATTGGGGACATTTAAAAATATCTTAAATAATTAAAACTATCACTGTAGGCATACTACATGTCACATACGTTTTGCAAGGAAAAGTTTGTCTTGGAAAGCTAATATGTAAGTTTAGTAAGCATTCTGAACAAGTGATTTCCTTAATGTTTCCTGACTATTGTGTATAAAATGTAGAGAAAATTGCTGTGGTTAAAGTGGAACAGTATAGGAAATTGGATGAACTTATTGCACTCTGCTGTGCATTTTCTTAAGCAAGCATGTACTTCTCCAGCGACCTCATTACTCAAAAGCTGTGAGTAGGTTGGTCTCTGAGAATTTACCCCAGAAGTCTAGAGTTGATTTTTAATTTCTTTTTCCTGTGTGTTAATCTCCACTAAATAGAATTCTCTTCAGAAGTTGAGGATCTACTCTACCCATTCAGATAAACCTGTTGTTCATTTTCTTAAATGTGACCTTGAACTCATTCAAGGGAACAAGTCATTCAAAACAGCGCCTTCAATTTTTAAATAATCAAGAGATAAGTTCCATATGAGTTCTTATAACCTATATGGATAATAAAAAGCACTGTTTTTCAGTCAACAGCATGAGTTTACATTTGCGAAAACTAATGAACAAAATGAAATATCAACTGCTTGTATTAGCTGTCTATAAAATGTACTTGTTGCAGTTAAAGTAAAAAGCTGTATGATACTTATACACTGAGAAAGCATATAATAAATGTTGCCATGATTAATTCCTTCTTCTACTGTCATTTGAAAGACAAAATTTCATATGTGTGTGATTATTTTCTCTCTCCTCAGCAACTATGTCTTTTGCTATGATGGTAGTTTTTATATTTCCAAATGTCTAGAGTTTTTTGGTGGTTTGGGTTAGGTTTCTTTTTCCCCTGTTTCTCTCTAAATGATCTGTGGTGTAGGAGAAATTATTAAAGTTTTGTTATTTTTTTCCCTCCATGTGAATAATTTTATAAAAATGTTCCTCTATCTGAAGCTGCAGAGCTTCCCTTGTTGCTTGTAATGCAAAGTGAAATCTGACAGTCTTCTTCAAAGCAGCTAATCCAAACCATCTCCACTGACACAGACCAGAGGGGAATCCTGGAAAAACAGCAGCCAGGATAATTCCAGATGAAACTATGGCAGGAACAAACTTTTTAGAGTTATGCCTTTTCATAAGGGAGCCAATCAGGAAAAGGCAGGAATTGGTTTATGAAGCAGAAGACATGATAAAAAATTACATATTCTATACACTTTCTATATATCTTCTTTGCAATCATGTTTTGGAAAGAAAGTGCTGAGGCACAACCTTTGGATTCCAAAAGTCACTAAAAGAAGTTGCATTGTCTTTGATCTATATAGAGAAAATTATATTTGTATGGTTTGTGTGAAAACTAACATTTTATCTTTGAGTGGAAAAGGGAAAGTATATTACAAAGTAGAAACATTATTGTTTTTTTCTTTTTTAAGTTCTCCCTATATCTTTGTGAGGTGTTTTACACAGTAAGTGGAGTATTAGACATCTGTGAAAATCTGCATGTGGTAAAGGTTCAAAGAGTTTCTCTGGATATGTTACTTTATTCTTATTCAAATGGTAGAAAAAAAAGAAAAATTACATTTTCTCACTGTCTTGTTTTTAGATGTCTACAGTGAATGGGAACAGAAGATGGCATAGGCTGTTAGCAGAAATTAAAACAAGGAATGTGTCTGTTCATAAATTTGATGATGTGGAATTTCAGCTACACATAATGTGATAGATGAGCACCTTGAAGAACATTTTATTTTCTTATTTGAAAGAAACATTTTGGAAGAAGATTTTATATTGTTCTCTATAATGTCTCTGTCTATCTATACCTAAATATTTATATTTCATTCTTTGCATCTGTGTAGGGTCAAGACTTATTTCACATTTGAGACTTTCCCTGTATTTTTTGGCTGTTTTCATCTTTAAGCAGGCTTATCTGAAGATATGACATTCTAGAAAACTCTAGGACAATCTACAATGGCAAAATTGACATTTTTGCTTAAGTATGTGGTTAATTTGGATTGATATTTGAACTAATCCACCAAGTTTCCGTGTTCAAAGGACTCAGATGTGAAACACATGATTTTCCTTGGTCTATCTGATGCCGAAAAAAATCTTGAATTTCTCTCTGCCGTATCTCATCTGAGACTCCCAGCTGCTAGATAAACTAATGTTACTCGGGGGGCAGGGTTATATGTGTCAGTTTTACTGAAGAACTTGGATATGAGGGGGAAATTTTGGTGCCAGAACCTGACTTTTTTAGGCAAGTGGTCAGTTCAAAGCTCCTAAGAACTCTGGTTTCTAACATAGCACTTTGTTTATTTTATTTTATTTTGAAACATTATACTGGAGTAGTGGACCTATTTAATAACGGTAATAATTACATAATTTGGTCTTTGAATTAGATATATGTTCCCATTTCAATGTGACAGTTCTATTCCATATTTTTATTTCATTCTGCAAGGGAGGTTATGGCTGGCCATTTAGATGACATGGTTTTTGTCATCTATTGGATCAGTGACTTAATCATAGGATTTCATTTTAAAGAGGACTAACAGGTCTACTAATGCCAACAATAAGATGACCTGGTAATATTCAGAGTTCAAAGTTTAATCACAGTAGATCAATCATCACAAAGTTCAAAGAGCATTATTAAGCAAGCTGCATATTCTAGGTCTTGAGGCAATATAGAATTAATTGTCAGGAAAACAGTGGAAAAGGAAAGCACTTTAATCTTCTTGTCCTCGGTGTGACACATGTCAAGTTTCAAAATATGCAACATGATGTCATAGTTGCAGAAAGAGAGTCAAATTTAGCCAAGGAGAAGGTGCAAAGTGACCCGGTAAAGCTTTTTTTATTATTATTATTTTGAAGTTAATAAACCAAGTGATATTTAAAGGTGTAGTACCCAAATTTTGTTTCCAAATTTTTGCTACTAACTCTGAAGATATTTACTGATACTGATTCTTTTATTTTTTCCTCATGGATGGATAGAATATTTCAGAATATTAGTTCTCTTTGAAAGTTCATATTAATGAGTTCATATTAAGGAATTCAGGTTGAATTGATCTCAGTATTAAAAAAGAAACAATGGTATTTCTTACAATGGAGCACATCTCCAACACCTGTGGATCTCCAGATGTGTGTCTAAGCAAACTTTTAAACTGACTATGCTGTCTATATGCATGAAACAAAGCTAGCCAATAAAACAGATGAAAGCTTAAAAAGTTTTGAATTTGGTAATATAGTGATGTGTCTTTGGAGTCTTGAAAGGAGAAAAATCTGAGAAAAAAATGTGATGATAATTTAATCACACTTTCATATATTTTTGCTTTGTTTTGTTTTCTTCATGACATCTGGGATTATCCATTGTGTGTCAAACAACCAGTATGGTTTTCTAAGATGAAACTGTGTGAATGACATTCACACAAAATGAAAATGAGGCGAAAATTTCAGATTCTTGCATAAAAGTAAAATAAAAAAGGTAAAAATTATGCACAGTTGTTTCTATGTCATATGTAATTATGTATAGAAATATGTATAATTTTCCAGTTTACTAACAAAGTTTCAGCAGCTCTAATATTATTGACTTTCAAAAAATGATGGAGACAGTTCAGAAGAAATTAATATGAAAAATCTCTGATACAGAACAACTCATACTTGTGGTGTACTTGAAAAAACAAATGTTTTAATATTTTAAGTGAAATATAACTAAATTTAATAATTAACCATCATTGGAATTCAGTTGAGTGCCTGCATGAATATTCTATTTTGCAGAAACACGTTTGTCACTCCAGTATGTGCTAAACCCAGTATAGACGGAAGCTGGGGCAGGGAAAAAGGGGAAACAATGCTTTACTCTTAATACACCAAACATGCTTATTGTTCATGTACATAAAATTCAGTGGTCTTTTACTAGTTTTGGTTTCTTAACCAAGAACCTATGTAATCACGTTATGAACACTTTTAAGCATGGAGTAGAATAATATCTCACAGTAAAGTCAAACCGGACTGGTGTAAAACGTCTGTGGGTTTGGTTTCCACTAGCATATTTGCCTTGACACTAAAATGGTTTTTCGTCATGCATTACAGCTGAGAAACAAGTTTAAGAAACAAATAAGTCAAGTTGTTGATTGCTTCCTTTCAGATTAAATGGGGCATCACACTTCGTATGTATTTTTAGTCCTCTGAGAGTGGTTTAAATGAAATGTTTAAAGTGGTTTATTTAAATTTACTTAGAGGCTAACTATAAGCACTCAGAGGAGAATACCCATTCTCAGGAGGTTATAACAAACTGCTGCTAAGTGTTAGCTTCTTAGACTTAGTCTTAAGAGAAAATTACTTAGGTCTGCTGGGTTATAAAGAAGGGTGAACTCAAGGGTGAGAAGTTTATAGACAGCCTGGAAGACAGAAGAAACACTCCTAAGTAGCAATGGACAAACCATGAAACCTAGTGTGGAAATGATAACAGTGTTTTGGTTACAACATTTGATTTCAGGATCAAGAATTTACCAGGCCTGTTATATGGCTTCAAAATTACATGCAATCATAGAATCATAGAATGATTCAGGCTGGAAGGGACCTTAAAGATCATTTAGTTCCAATCCTCCTGCCGTAGGCAAGGATGCCTTTTACTAGATTAGGTTGCTCAAAGCCACATCCAACCTGTCCTTGAGAACTTCCAGGATGGGGCATCCACAGCTTCTCTGGGCAGCTGTTGCAGTGTCTCACCACACTCAGTGAATATTTTCTTCCTAATACCTAATCTAAACCTTCTCACTTGCAGTTTAAAGGCATGTTTATAGGCCCTTATCCTATCACTATATGCCCTTGTATAAATTTCCTCTCCACCTTTGTTATAGGCCAGTAAACCCCACCATGTATGTATTAGGTTCCAGAAATAAACAGGACAAGAAACAACTGGCATTTGTTTCAGCAAGTGGGAAAAACACTTCCTGACTTTTCAATTGGAAGGTCTTTGTCTCTGTTACAAAGCTGTATGTTTCAAAACTCTACATGAGAATTATTAAAGCTTTCAAAGGTTCTTTATCTGTGAAATCTATGGGGTGCACGCATGCTGCAAGGTCATATTTAACCTGATTTTGAGAGGATCTCATAGGTCATGTGTAATATTATAAACACTGGAGGGTATTCCAGGGACTTGTAATGAAGACAATGATATACCCATTGTCAAGGCTGTCCTTTCTCAGCATTGTATTGGAGGTGCAACATGTAGATGATAGAAATGAAGCTGGTTTGCATGAAATCTAAAATAGGTTATTGTTATGAAAGTTGTTCTCAAGAACAGCTTGTAATGTCAGTGTAGATGCAGTTATCTTCCCCAATGTATTATGTAAATCTTTAAGAAGCATCTACTTTAAACAATAATGGATGATGAATAAGCCACTATAGATATAAAAGGTTCTAAAAGACATTTACACAATGTCTGTATTATCATTTAAACAGTAAATAAACATTTTTCACAGGATATTGCACTTAAATTAGTAAAAATCTTGTATCATCATACTTATCTAAACAGAAGTCAATAATCAATATTCTTACAGAAATATGTCTTCAGTTATTTATACAGAACTTTTCATCCATATAGCGTGAAACCAGAGTTTGATTTGACTTCCCACAACACCATAAATCAAAACAAACAAACACACAAATATACACCCTTAGAGTAAATGAAATATACTTTTGTCACTCAGGATAAATATCAAATGGAACTGAAACTGTATTAATTTTAATTAACTGTAAATATTATTTTAAGACTCCAAAAATATCGTGGGAAAATATTCTTTTGACAGGATTTTTCTAAACCCAAAATCTTCATTAATTTCTGAGAACTGATGTACTTAAGTAAGAAATCTTTTCCGTCTTAGTACTCTCCTTAAGCTTATTTAGGCAGAACATATTTGCAGTGAAGTTAGAACCTCTCTTCTCTGAAAAAGTATATTTGCAGTGGTAAAGTTAATGTAAAGTTAACTCTAAACTAATAGTGTGTCTCTAGAAAGTACTTTAAATGGCATTCTACACTATATCAGTTGTTTGAAAGTGGCTGTTTGAATTATGGCTCATTTCTGCAGCATAGAAGCTCGTAAAAAAGTACAAGAAGACCGAGACTCAGACCTGTTTTTGTTTTTGACTCTGATCTTATAATTAATTATGGTAGTTTGAAGTTTCAGTAGGGCACTCATAGAACGTTTTAGAGAGTGTTTAAAATGCTGTAATTTAATTGTAGGAGCAGTATTTGCAAAAATAAAAATCTTAATGGAAAAAAATCTTGCTATAACTATTTGGCCAACTGCCTTCTTGTTTTACCTCCCATTTTCACAGCTCTGACATGTAGCAGTGCATATTTTAACATAAAATAGCAAGTCTGAAACTCTGACATGCTGTATATTTATTCTTGTGTGAAGTAAAACTTTTTTTTAAATAGTACAGATGATTATATCTATTTTTTCAAATGAAGTGTTTCTTTTAAAGTGTAAGGTTTATTTTCACACTTCTGATTGCCAGAGAAGCAGGAAACAGAGAGCTGTACATCAGACATTTAAATCCAGACATTATGCAATCATGATAACAAGGATTAATAAAGATTAATTTAGCTCCCACTTAAAAGCTCTGGTGTTTCAGAAATACAACTGTCTAGCTTGTAAAAGGGGAATAATTATAATTTCCTTTTCAAATGTGCCTCTGTAGTGTAGTAGACAGTTGCCCATGATTTGAAGATTATTTGTGTCAAACTATTCTCTAGTTAAAACCTGTTAATAAAAC